TGGGCCATCCTTGAATGGTGATCCTCCTAGCTATGTTTCTTTTTTTGGGGGGGCGGGGGAGAGTCCAGTAGTGGGGCCTGAACTCTGGGCTTGGGTGCTGTCCCTCAGCTCTTCAGCTCCAGGCTTGTGCTCTACCACTTGAGCCACAGCACCACTTCTGGCTTTTTTCTTTTTGCTTATGTGGTGCTGAGGAATTGAACCCAGGGCTTCATGCATGCAAGGCAAACGCTCTACCACCGAGCCACCTTCCCAGCCCCCTAGCTATGTTTCTTAAGCAGTTGTGATTACAAGTGTGAGTCTCCAGGACTGGCTAAAACCAATCCTTATGTCAAGCATGGCAAAACAGGGATCAAAGTGTGTAGCAATCAGTTTTATTTGGGAAGTAAGTGGTCACACATAATTTGAAAAATATACTCTTCATTTGTAAAATTTCAAGTTGTGCATGGGTGGCTCAAGCTTATAATCAAAGCCAACAAAGAGGCTGAGATCTGAGAATTGTGGTTCAGAATCAACTCTTGGCAGGCAAATCTTCAGGTGTGAATGGATGGAGGAGAGGAGTCAAGCTAGAGCATAAGGCTCTGGTACTAGCATGCATGTATGCACATGTACACACATACATATGCACACACCAATGATGTTATATGATATTTTATACTTAGAGTTGTCTCCAGTACTTCCCCCATCTCAACGCTGGCTCTCTAAGTGATGGAGAAGTAATTTCATAAACCAAGCAGGATGATTTTACAGGTGTGTGTTGGGCATTGATTGTATTTTCCACTCATGTACTAGAGATTACTGCCTGCATTTAGAAAATGATTTATACCATCATAGCTTATACTATTTTAGTGATATTTTTGAATATATTTATCTAGGAATACATGACTAAATCATCTGTGATTCTGTTATGGATTTTTTTCTCCAATGTGTTTTCTTTCTGTGGCAAATAAATTTAGTGTCAATAAATTAGTGTCGATTGTTTCCAAGCAGATGTAAGCTGGTGAAAGTTTATATGTGTCACTGTAGAAAAGTTCAGAGAGGCATTTGAATTTTTTCACAGTTATAAATCTAGTTATATAACTACTCTATCTTTTCAGAAATTGCAAACGATCTCAAGATGCAGAAGCCTGATGTTAAATCAGTTGGAGACCCCAAATAATTTTCTACAAAGTTCTTCTATATTACTGGCATGATGTCATAAGCTTACACAAATGGTAAACACTTAATGAATGATGAACTAATGTGACTTGGTGGAATTAATTTTAAATGAATTTACTTACTGCTGTCAGAGAAATTCAGCTGTGATCTGGCAACTCACAAATCCATGTCCCGCGGCACAACCCTGCTGTGGCCCTCTCTTCTTCTGCTGCCATATTTCCTACCTTGTCTAAATGCTTCCATTCCAGTGCCCCTTTCCCTTGCCTCCATTTTATCCTTGAAGATTCAGTTCAGAGGTTATTTTTTTTTCCTATGGTTTTTCCCCCCTTAAGAGCTAGTTAGGAGCTTCTGCAAGCGACTCTGCACACACCCAGTGCCTGATGCTCTATTACCCTCCCTCTCATCTCAATCCTCACCTCACTGAACACTGGAAGAACCTTGATGGTCAGGGGGTGTGTTGAATTCAAATTCAACAGTACTTTGCTAGGGCTGTGTATGAATTGATTTGCTTGGCATTTCCTCCCCTAACACACACCCACTATCAATTCCATGTATTGGAGAGTTCAATCATAAAACTTTCACAAGCAAAACAAACAAACAAATCGTAAGTACAAAAGCCTACAAAAAATGACTGAGTATAGGTCTGTGCCAACACTATGACAGTGCCTGTGTGGTGGTGAGAAATGAATGAGAACAGGGTAGGATATTCAGATGGACAACCTATGAAGCCTAGGTCCCTAATATAGTCCGTATGCCTGGTAAAGATCATGGTGTCCGGGCTGAGTGAGGTGGCCAGCCAACTGTTGGAGGTTTCCAGGAAGAGGAAGGACATGCCCTGACTCACAGCATCATCCTGAGGACAGTGGTGAAGGGATGCAAGGACCAAAGCATGAGGTCCAGCTAGAGGAGATTAGTCGTGGGAAAGGTTCAACAGAGCTGTGGCAGAACCACATGCTCCGACTTGGAAACGCTCATTGGAGAAGTCCTTTTATCCAAGATGGTGTACTGAACAGGCAAAGGGGCATGTGTTTGTACTTAGCAAGAGTCAGAGAGATGACATTTAGAGCTGATTTCCTCTCACAAATTCAACTTTCAATGATAATTAGATATTATAAGAGGTTAGAAAGGATATATAAATTATAATAGCTACAAATATGTTCATCTAAAGGGAACTTGTTTTAACTATGCTAATAGGCATTCATTTGTTGTTAATGAATTATGTCTATGTTGTCCTGCATTCTACGTGGATGAAATATGAAAAAACTAGCCAGCGCGGGTCTCAGTAAACCAGCAACTTTAAAGTGTTAATTGGTGACATTTTACTATGTTACATCTCAGTTTTGCTTGACTACAAATTATGCAACATAAGCTCAGAAAAAGAAAACACAACACCAAAAAATCTACATGAAAATTGCATAAGATGTAGAATGAAGGCAAATAAATACACATACAAAAACTCTGCACAATGGAAGGGTGAGGAAAATGAAAACATTTGCAAAGGTATTTATTTGAGAAATAGTAAAGATGTACATATTTTTACAAGCTTTTAATATTAATTTACATTTCTTTAAATTATGTAGGCCCCGAGAAATCTATATTTTACTAATACTTAACAGAAACCCTTGCCTTTGATGGTAAGATCACCATAGATCTCCCATAGCTGGAGTCAAAATGCAACTTTGGCTCATGATGCTTAAGTCTTTGTGTTGAAAAGAAGTACTAAATGCCATATTCCTGGAGAATGTAGGCTTGTCATAAACAGCTGTGCTTTACACAAATGACTTCAGAGTGAAGCATGCTGTTCACACGACTGTGAATCTTAGCTCTCCAGAGACAAAGGAAGAAAATGTCCAGACAATTATCTATTTCTGTGCATAAATGGTATGATTCTAAAGATACCCTTTCTGCCTTTGAATTTGATTTACACATTTTGTTTACAGGGGTCCTATGCTCTAATATTGTAGACAGGCTGGCTAATTCATTGCTGAAGTTATGCAGTTTTTAGTTTGTTAAGGTGCCACACAAGGTGGTTGTCTTTCCTAGTCATATACCAAATGTATGTATGTGGTAACTGAAAGCACATTTAAGTTACAGAACAATTTTCAAACCAGTTTACAGTAAGGCACAATTTGCTACCTGTAAATAGAACATGGGAACTGACAAAGGGCTGGCTTTCTCTCTGCTGGCTTATTGTGTGGTCTTCTGACTAGACAGGAAGAGAACTTTCTGTTCTTCAGGCGGAAAGCATTTGAGCATGCTCAAAGTCACATGACCCGTGATGCCAGGGCTTGCTGGCTAGCACCACTGTGTGCCAGACAAGCTGTTCTGCATCAAGCAACCTCCAGTTCAGGTTTTATGTTGACACATACTCAAAAGAAAAAAAACACATGTGTGTAAGAAACAGCACTGGGAGATGGTATCAGCCATCTTTTCTACATCCTGTGTAAAGGTTTTTCTGGCATCTGCAGGCTTAGCAGCATGAGAAGCCTTGCTTGGCTGACAGAAAAAGGAGTCAAACATGTTGGTGTAATACCACTGGCCTATTATTTGAAGAAGCTGGCTATACAGCAAGATCATTTCATTTTATTCACAGTAATAAACATCTAAGGTTTTAGTGCACGAAGTAAGTATTGATAATGAATGCAAGCCTTCCATTTTTAAAGCCATTTTCAAATTAAAGGCCAATAGAAGTGTAAGATTTCTTATTTACTTATTTATTATTAAAGGTCTTCCAACCATAATTTGCCTGCCACAGTACTTGGGGCTGAGGTAGCCAGAAGCCACACCCACTAAATAAGTTTATGCCATGAAATCACAATCTGATGCAAAATTAGGATCTCCTTTCTGCCTCCCTATGGACTTAGCATTCACTGAAGAAATACAAGTTTATAGCATGAAGAGTACAATCATATTTCCCAGTGAATATTCACAGTGATCTGGGAGCAAAGTGTAGGTTTTATTTTTGCCATGGAAGTCTCAATCGATCAACTGACACGAACCAGCCTCTAGTTAGGAAGACTGACTCATTCCTTACTGGAATTCAGGACCCATACTATGACATTTTAAACACAGAACTGTAGGTGCAGACACTATTAGAATACTCTAGATCTCTGAGTCTTAAATTTCCACAGGGGAAATCATGTCATAGAAATGGTAGGAGAACCTGTATCGTGTTCCCAACATGGGCTACACACCAAGAAAGAAAGAAAAAAAAAAACCATGCAAACACAACAACGATGACAAGTTCTCCCTGCAATGAATGCTGCCCAATACCCAGTAACAGTTCAAGCAGAAACCAATGTATGCAAATCTGTAGTGGGGAGCCCCTAGATTGATGTGGTAAGACTGAGGAAACAGACAGTTTTATGGTTGTGATTTGGTAATGCTGTGAAAATGCAGGTCACCTGTTCATTCTTGTCTGGTGGTCTACTCAAGGTAAAACTTTCCTAGCTTCACTTCTTCCCTTGGAAGCCATCTGCTATGTCTACCTATTATTAACGATAACATTTGAATTTCTTTTTGCAGTAGTATTGGCTATATTTTTAAGCCACAGTCACACAATGTGAATTTTAAGCTATGTCCATGGCATATTACAAAAATAATTTGGGTGATAATTGCTAATGACTTGTATGATAATATCTTCCTCAAAGCAATTTACACATATCAAAATGTCACAAACTCAATACTGTGCAAATTTTCCTGGATATGGCTCGTTTTCTTGCGGAAAACTATAAAAAGGATACTTGAGACTTTAACCTACACTTCACTTTTTAAGTTCAGGTCCCACAGTCTCTCTTGATCCTTCTCTTTATGGTTAGATGCCTCCTACAATTATTGGAATTATTAAGAACCCAAAAAAAACACAAGCTTTCATTTATTCTTATGTCCAAATACTCAGTTTCTTCTTGATATCTGATAGCTTAAATTTTAAATTTGGTCATGTTAAGAATTATCACAGACTTTTTTTTTTTGGTTTTGCTTTTGTTATTGTTTTTCATTATCTACAGAGGTTTTTTTTTTTTTTTTTTAACCAAAGTTACATCAGAACACACAAACTCTGTCTTGTCTTTAAGGCACAACACATCATTATGAACATTCTGTTTTGCCAAACTTAAAAAAGAGACAATATTATATTCCCATGACCCCCCTTGTCCCCTCCCCAACAAATGAAAGAAAAATTTCACCCACTTTCAAAGTCAGCTGCTACTAAGTCACAGTAAATTATTTCCATCCATAATGTACACAAATTACAGGTCTAGATAGGACTGTCTTTATACAGTCGGAGTGCATTCCAATTCAGATTTTCTGGGCTAGGTAGGGTAAAGTCAGGTTCAAACCTCAGGGCTGAGACGAGTTCTCATGTTGAGGAATGTTGTTGACCACCTTGTCAGATGGAGCACAGAGGCTGTGGCTTGAGAGGGTGAGATCTTTGCTAATGCTAATTCCAGTTAGGACTCATTTGTTGTGCAGAAACTTCCACAGATTTGTTGTTGTTGTTGTTGTCGTCATCATCTTTGTCATTGTTGTTAATAAACCATTAAAGTGTTGTAAATATAAGACCATTGAGTTTTGTTTCTGTAGCACTAAAGTTGAATTTCATTCAGCAATCTGAATTCTTCATTTTGGAATTTTCATTCCAAATATTTCATACTTTAAGACAATTTATATGTGTAGAGCCAGAGGCATTGAATCACACATAAAAATTCAGTGTACTTGAAATATATATATATATATATTTATATGTATATAAAATGGATCCCCAGCTAGAGAACACAGTTACAAATACTCTAATTCCAGTGCTTGATGAAGAGCCAAAAGGTCCGAGTGACTTGATATCCTCCAAAAGGGCATGTTGTGCTGTGTGGTTAAGAGAAGGGAGGATGGAGAGGGAAGGGGTGGGATGAAGAATGTACAGAGATCATGACCATCATCTCAATAATGCAGCGGCTCACACAAAGGCATCTGTCTATCCAGGTTCAAGAGAGGGCATTTAAATAAGGGATGGCCATATCTGAAGGTTTGGCAGCACCAATACGGCATATTCAGAGTAACAGAGAAATAGATCTGAACTGGATTGCAACAACAAAGCAAATATTCAGATATGTAGGTGGCTTTCCTTGGCAAATTAATTAGCATTAACAACATGAGTATCTGGGAAAGCAAGTAAGCAAGAAAAACTCTTACTCTGATGGGAAGCAAGTTTTGAGCAGTACAAAGTTTATTTAAAATAAGACTAAACTATGAACTTCTTAAGCCCAAGTCCTTTTGTCTATCTGAGAAGAAAAGAATGAATTCATTTCTATGTAAAATAAGAAGAAGAACAACTTTGAAGGTGGACTATATGACGTAGAAAAAAGGTGGTGATTTAAATTTTCTTAATTATCAAGGATAACTAATAACTTAAGCCAGTAGAGTTGATTTGATTTATTTCCCTGGCAAAATAGTGAGAGATAGTGCATTAGCAGCAGTAGGGGAGATTGTTTACTCAAAGGGATAAAATTGGCTTCTTGTTGGTGTGAAAAAAATCTTGACATTACAATGATTTTGTGGTTCTTCAGGGATAGTCCAGGGACTGGTATATATGTGGCATTAAAATTTCACAAAAGAGACTGATAGAAAAACAACAGCTAGAAAAACCCACTAGGAACAAAAAATAAAAAACTAAAGAAACCGTGCTATAGTAAATAACAGAACAATAGCATCATTAATAAGTTTGGATTGACAACATCTAGAATATAGATGTATGGAATGTAGTCACATATATGAAAAGAATTTTATTAAAAAATAAAGATCATAATAATCACCATGTCTATGTAACTCTTTGCTATTTAATATGATAACCACTAGCCACAAGACCACGTGAAATGATTAGTTCAATTTAAAATATACTGAACTTCAACAACTTAAACCAACAAAGGAATACAGACAGCACAGCAATAATTTTATACTGATTAGGTGTTGGGGCATATTATTTTGAAGACCTTGGACTAATGTACTATCATATATAATTTTAACCTCTCTTTTTACTTTTAAATATGACTTCCAGGAAATTCTAAAAATTATATATATATATATATATATATATATATATATATATATATATATATATATATATATATCACCGTATATACTTCCACAGAAAAACAGGGTTGTATATATAATACTCCTATTTCAAAACTTGGATATTTTTCTTTAAATTTCTCAAACACAGTGGGCTTTAGGTCAATTTAGAGCACAAAAAATTCACCTACAAATGACTTTTAAAAAATTCAGCTCAGATCTATTTGTAATAACAGAATAGAATTCAGTATTTTTGCACATGCAATTACTGCTATGTCCAAATAAAAGCATGCATTCTAGATACTAGGAAAACCAACCACCTGTGTTTCCAAGTAGAATTGTAAGCCTTCACCATCACCCAGATTGTATCTACATAAAAAACCATTTGAAAATAGCATTCTCTCTGAGAGTTGTATCCATTTGGAGTCACACTTTTTTTTCCCCCTGAGGTGCTGGGTATAAAACAGAACTATAAAACCATAGTCCAATTTTGTGCTGCAGATAACTGGTAAGCTTCAGGTTTCAAGGGAAGACACTGGGAAAGTGCTTTTTTTGTTAGTAGTGATGTAGAGATACAGGAGTTTCACAGAGGTTAAAAGACATGGACACATTGGCTGGAGGGCTGTATCACTGATTGCTACTTGTTATGTGTCATGATGGTGTCAAAATCATGTGCAGTCAGGACACTGACAAACTCCATAAACTTTTCAGCTGTGTGTGACTGGAAGCATTTCAAGTTGTGATCAGTAACACAGATTGGGGTTCTTCAGGCTTTGCCCCTGATCTCTTACAGAACATCGTTGGGAACCAATGTGCTTGCTGTCTTGAGTCTCTAACACTACTAATGAACCCTGTTAGTAGTCCTTTAATTGTGCTCCCTTAATGGGATGGAAAAGTACAGGGAATCTCAACTCGGGCTGTTGGCACCATCACCAAACCTTCTGGCACAGAATCACTTTCCTCTTTCTCCATTCTGCTTGGTTTGAGTTGACTAAAAGCATAAATCGTTTTCTTTCTCTTTCTAATACAGCCATAAATTCTTCTATGAATCTGCTTCTGGTGATATTTTTTAAAAAAACATAGATATCAACTAACCACTCCAGGACATGCAAGTATTCAATAATGTCTTTATTGGATGAAGATTTAAATTGCCTTGAGATAAGGACAACTTTCTTTCTATATGAAACAATGCTTGTTTGAAAATATTCAAATCACCATGTTTTCCTGTGTTGTACAAATTCTATACTTCTATCTTGGGCAGAGGAGGCTTTTCTATTATTATTCAATGATGGGAACAGCTCAGTATTGTGCTCATTGATAAGCCTAATATTGGAGGCCAATGCTGTTATCATTTATCTACTGATGTTGGAGCAACCATTTCATGATTGGCTTGGTTTATTCTTTAGAATATATAGAACTGATAAAAGGTTTATCTATAGTGCTTATGAGATCTTTTAAATATGTTGAAAGCCAGTTGTTTGGCCTCAATCAACTATCAATGGCACACCCAAACGATGACCATTTTCTGCATGATGTCAAGTACATTGCCTCCAATCTTTAATTGGAATAGTACATTCTATCTTACTAGGCTTTATTAAAATCTCTTCAAAGTTTCATTCAGATTTCCATTCTCTCTTCAGCACTTCCCAATGAGTTACACTCATGTGTAAGAAACTCACAGAGATTATGTGGCACATGAGACAAATGAGTCACTCAATGTGAGTTTTCTTTGATCTCATCTGTTGATCTTGGTAAACTTCATGAGTTTAACAATAATTCTTGCTTATCTTCTTGACTATGAGGTCATCTGTTATCTATGAGCATTGTGTATTAAATATTGTATATAAGCAAATATGTGTTTATTATGTATTTACACACAAATTAATAGAACTAAATTTCCTTGCATTTCCTATTCAATTTCAGGCAAAAAAAAGCTAGACTCCAAATGGTTTATTTGAATGTAAGTATTGATCCTTTCATGCTCTTACTGCTTGACATCTACAAATCCAAATCATTTGTCAAGCTTCCCTTGGGCCAAACTATGTGAATGCAAACAAAAGGCTTGCATTAGCAGATTCACACCGACATTGTTGGAGACAGGTTACCTTTTTTGCTGCCTGTTCTTCTTCTACACCATCCCCAATTACAACATATACTACTTTTCTGCCAAACCTTTGCATTATTCGTTCAAAGCAACTTTCTTTTCCTGGAAGATAAATAAGATAAGGTTCAGAGTGAAGTTACCTGGTTAGCAGCATGCTCCTCATCACGGCCATCTCCAATCACAACATAAGTTATGTTAGTGCCAAATCTGGACACTATACGCTCAAAACAGCTTTCCTTGCCTGAAAAACAACGCACTGCTTATTCTTCCAGCCATGGCATTCATGAACCTGAGGATTCATAAGGTGTTAAGTTACTGTGTCTTGAACATCACTGGAACTAGTTGAAGACCTGTGAGTTTACATTTCAACACATACTCTTGAATGACTTAACTCTGAGGATCATAGTATTAAACAATACATGTATGGCTCATACCTCAAGAAAATCAGCAGGGTTAGGCATTTAACCTCGAGAAAATATGACTCGGTTTGCTCCACCGAAGGATTATTAGAACAACTTCACAGGCAAACTTAAGTGCCAGCATTCTTTGTTTAGTCTAATAGATGGAGTTTATCTAGTTCCTTTTAAGTAGTATATTATTGTAGAAAACTGATCTAAGAAAAAAAGAAGAAATACTAACATGTGGATTTACGTGGATAAGTAATTCCTTTCTTCAAGTGGATGAGAGCTAACATGCTCATTTTTGTTTTATTTTTTTATTTTATTTTTTTTTTTTTGGGTCCGGTTGTGGGCCCTGAACTCTGGGCCTGGGCGCTGTCCCTCAGCTCTTCAGCTCAAGGCTAGCGCTCTACCACTTGAGCCACAGCGCCATTTCTGGCTTTTTTTTTTTTTTTTTTTTTTTTGCTTATGTGGTGCTGAGGAATCAAACCCAGGGCCTCAGGCATGCAAGGCAAGCGCTCTACCACTGGGCCACCTTCCCAGCCCCCTAAAATGCTCATTTTTGCTGTACTAGCTGCCACCTTCCTATTGCTAGTGCTGCCTCCAGCTCTTCCCTTCCTCCCTGCTGCCCTACAAAGGCATCCCAGAATTCCTATACAACCTTGGTTTTTATATCATTAGAATTATTCCCTGGAGCTATTTTTTGCCCCTTTGAAAAAATCTGATGGTTTAGAACTAAAATATATATATATACACTAGCTTATAGGGAACAATAAAAATAATATTTTTTCAGATGAAACGTAGGAAATAATTTGGCCAATAAAAATATTATCCTAAACCAGAAATGTTTATTCTGGTGTACTATCCTTCGAGTGCTCCTAAAGTAAAATCACATTCTGCACATTAATTTTGCTAACATGCATATGTGTATTCATGTGAAAGATATATGGGATTGATATCTGGATGTGCACTAAAGAGTTTATGACAATTTAGTGTTTATTTCATGAAAGTCTGGCTCTCTCTGACTGCCCTCCAAAACAGCAGTCTCTGGGGGCTCCTTTTACCACAGCCAATAACAGCCTTCCACAAGGCCCAGGGCGGGTTATTTTTGGTGGGGGATTTTAGGATTTCAAATTTCTCTTGTCAAGGTGCCAAAGCCTAAGTATGTTGACCTTCTGGACACATTATACAACCCATTTATTTTCCCAGGCCTTTCCTTGACAGTGCAATACAGACACTTTTTTTCTTTTAACTCTTTCAAAAGGGAAGAATTTAACTTTTGGTTTTGAACACTTATTGGATGTTTTCATCTGTGAATGCACTTAGAGTCAAAGACGGCCCCAAAGATAAACATAGCTCAAAAAGCAAGATGGTAATTCTTTAATTCATACTATCTGGGGGATGGTTGATATTATGTATCCTGACTGTTCCAATTATGTCTTTTTGTTTCATAAAACTTCTTTCTTATTTCTGATCATGTTCATTTTTCTGGGTGGTGGCTGAATCCATCTGCAATGACGTTGTGATCTTAAAATAGTATTTTAACCTTCGATCTAAAGTATTACATACAGAAAGATGCAATACTATATTCAACAACAATTTAGTTATTACTGTGGTTGGAGAGATTATGAATTATTGAGATGAAGTGTGCAGGAATATTCTGTAAAATTTCGGGAATAAATCAGAGCTACCTAGATACTCAGTTCAGAAATTCATGAGCCAAGCATGTTCACAAAATATTCCTGTGTATAATGAGTGGAAAAGAATTTTCTCATATGAATTTTGTCCAAGTTTGCTGGATGTTCTAATAGCAAAAGGAAACCCACACAGAGGAGATGCGCATTAAGACAATGACCAAACACAGAGGAAAGCACATGCCACACCAAGTTTAAAATCCCTTCCTTACCTATTTTAGTTGCACTGTAAATATTTTCAATGGGGAAAGCACCTCCTAAGCTGTACAGAAGAACCTTCGCTAGTGCTGGGATCAGCTGGGTTGTTGTTACCAAGACATTGACGCAGTTACTCCTAAAATAAGGAGGACATAGACTTGTTTTCTAGTAGTCGGTAACTTCCGAAAGTGCACGCTTAGAATTGTCACTGTTTTCTAGATCCACAAGGAGTAACTCTTTTCAGTGTCCAGCAGCCACTTCCTACCAACAGACAAATGCTCCCTGAATGACAACAGGGCATTTAGGATAATACACACCCCATGTAGCAACAAACGCGACAACATGCTAGTCAGAGTCCTATGGAGATAAGTTTTAAAAACCATGGTGAAATAAAATAAAAGAAAGGCTTTTTTTTTTTTTTTTGGTCAGTTGTGGAGTATGAACTCTGGGCCTGGGCACTGTCCTTGAGCTCTTCAGCTCAAGGCAAGCACTCTACCACTTGAGCTACAGCACCACTTCCGGTTTTCTGGTGGTTAACTGGAGAGTCTCACAGATTTTCCTGCTCCAGCTGACTTTGAACCGTGATCCTCAGATCTCAGCCTCCAAAGTAGCTAGGATGACAGGCATGAGCCACTAGCACCCAGTGGCTTTTACATTTTTGAGATGTGGTTCTGGGAAAGAGTTTTGCCATTTACATTATGTTGATGTTTAGAGTTACATTGCATTGTAAATACTGTATTTATAACAGAAAAAATGTTAAAGACAGAGAAAAATAAAGAAGAAAATATAAGGCAGTAGTTACTCATTAAACATCAGAGGTAACTCCTCTCTGTTCTGTGAATTTATTTTTAATGTTTTTCTGCTTTTATAGAGAAATTTCCCCTATCAACTTTCTTATTATAATCTATCTGCCTGCCTACCTATTTATTGATTTATATCATGGGTTCAGGAGATAACATACCATGTATGATTTCCACTCTCACTTTCAATAAAACATAATATATACAACAAACACTTTTGCCAGGTTGACAGATTTTACATTGTATGTGCGTGCACACATGCAAGCATGTGTGTGTGTGTGTGTGTGTGTGTGTGTGTGTGTATGTATGTGTATTGTGTGTGTGTGTGTATACGTGCTGGTCCTGGGGCTTGAACTCAGGGCTTGAGCACGCTGTCCCTGAACTTTCGTGCTCAAGGTTAGTGCTCTTCTACTTTGCACCACAGCTCCACTTCTGGCTTTTGGTGGTTAATTGGATATAAGAGTCTCATGGGCTTTGCCGTCTGGGCTGAGATCTTCCAATCTCAGCCTACTGAGTAGCTAGGATTCCAATGAACCACCAGTACCTGGCTAATGTCTTTGAAATCCAGTTTTGATGCTTAGATTCTTTGTATTTTCCAATATGGGGTTCTAATAATGCTTCCTACAATTTTCTATACCCTCCATATGTCCTCAATCAATATTCATAGATGAGAGTCAGAAGGTAACCTAACTTTGCCAAAGGCTCTGATACAGAATTCAACCAAGTAGTTAGATGCATACAATGTACCTTCATCAGGTCTGGCCCTTCGGCCACTCCCCCCCTCCCCCCACCCCTTTGGGCTTCTCAGACAGATCTCATCGTTTCACTGTTATATTTTTACACAATATATGCAAAGTATTTTGACTCAGTTCTCAAATGAGTCAAATTTTCAGTTCTTCCTCCTCTTCCTGTAAGTACTCCCATTTTATATTCTTGTCATTCGTTTGTTTAAGTGTATGTTAATTGTTTGAAAGAGTTTTACCATGGTATTTCACACATGGATAACAATGTTTTAAATCAGATTGACCCTCTGGCTTACCCTCATTCTCCATATACCCTCTCTACTTTCAGTGTTTCATTTTCACAGATCAATGTGTCTAAGCATTGCTTTATTTTTGTCATAGTCCCTTGTCGTTGGTCACCAGCAGAGTGATGTTGGCTTTTTCATTGCATATCAAGGGACCTGTCTGTGGAGATTATTAGTAACCTTAATGAGAGATGGGTGGAAAGGTGTGATCTATTGATTGAGGAGAAGCAACTCTCTTCTTGATCAACACATGGACCACCACAAACATACTGTACTCACACACACATGTTCCACACCCACACACACTACATGTGTACCTGCTCTATGCATAACATACATACACACATATTCTGCACATTCTGTCACACACTCCACACAGTTTGACAATCAACCACTGGACTCTGAATTGCTGTCTTGTAAACCCTAAACTAGTGTAGATATAAACACATTTTTAAACATCCATATTGTATCTTTAGACCTACATCTTCCACAGCATTGAAATAGGAAGGAGAGCAATGTCACTTACCTAGTACTGATAATTGATAAAGACTTAAGTGCATTTGTCAGCCAGGAATCTGTCAGACCTTCAATCTCTGCCCTTAACTGCAGCCATGCGTCCCTCTTTGCAGGGCCAAGGAGTCCTGCAGTACAGAAGGGCAAAGCAGAGTCAGGAGTTGAAGAGTTTCTCAGGAAAGTCTAACTTGGTGTCACTTCTGTGCAGAATAGATCTTTTCTTATTTCAACTTTATCAGAGATACAGTTACAGGCATGTTAATATTGATCCTTCATTTTAGAATGGATTATCCACTTACTTATTCAATAAATACTGGTTAGGCAACTCCTAGGAGTCAGGCTCTGGGCTAAGATATGGGGAACATAATGGTAGAGATGCCAACTCCAGTTTCTGACTTCTCTGAATCTAGACTCTCAGGCAGAGGGCATCTGTCACTCATAGCATCCTTCCTCAAAAGTGTGCAATACATCAGTCTGGAAAATCAGTGGGGCTCTGCTGGATTATATACACAAATCTCAGCTATTATGCCTGCCTGAAAAATGTTTCTAAATAACCACAATCATTTCCAGTTTGAAACAGCACGAATGACATGATGAGAGGTCTTTATCAGAAAGTTTCTTAAAAAGTAGTACTAACACTATCATAGAAGAAATTAAGAATTAAATTTAAACCCTAAAAAGCAAGCCAAAATTACAATGACATAAATTACATTGATTTGCATACATAAGGAAGAGGTGTGGTATTTTATCTTAAAGGATGCAGCTATGGGGCTATGGATAGAGCTCAGTGGTAGAGTGTTTGTCTCCCATATATGAGGCTCTGGATTTGGTCCTCAGCACAGAAAACAAACATCAAAAAATGAACAGCAGTTCTGCTAAAAGAAGATCTTTATAAAACTGTATAAATCCAATCAAAAGATTTCTTTTTTATTCTTTCTCTTTCCCTCCCTCCCTCCTTCCCTCCCTCTTTCTCTCTCTCCCTCTCTCTCTCTCCCTCTTTCTCTCTCTTTCTCTCTCTCACTTTCTTTCTCTTTCTCTTCTTTCTTCTTTCTTTCTTTCTTTCTTTCTTTCTTTCTTTCTTTCTTTCTTTCTTTCTTTCTTTCTTTCTTTCTATCTGTTGTGGGGCTTGAACACAGAACCTGGTGCTGTACCTGAGATTTTTTTCTTTTTGATCTAGGCAAGTGCTCTACCATATTTAGCCACTGCTCCACTTCTGGATTTTCATGGTAGTTTATTGGCGATAAGTCTTAAGGACTTTCCTGCCTGGGTTGACTTTGAACAATGACCTTTAGATCTCATCTTCCTGAGTAGCTAGTAGACATGAGCACCCAGCTTGAAAGATTTCTTACTTAAGAGGTATTCAGAATACAAGGATCACAATTACAAATAGATGCGTTAATGTTAAAGTTAAATATACTCTCCACAATTGATTTTTAATGAGAACATCTATTTATTTGTACAAAGGGTCTCATAAACAGCACCAGAGTAAAACAGAACACAGGAGTTTTCCCTTGAACAGGGGCAAGGTAGAACCCACAAAGCCTATTAGGTCTGGTTTCCTATTGGGAAATGAAGCTCTTCCATAACCAAACTCTTTGGCTCTTAAATTTATATTATTCAGTTCTTGAGTATCTATGGAACATCTATGTGCTTTCATGCTAGACAAAGACAAGGGAAACAAACACACCACTACCCCCTTTGAATGCATATGGATGGATATGGTGTATCTAATAAAACTTGAAACTTTACATAGCTCAGTGTATTCTATGACATTTGTGAATATTCCTGTGTGTAGTATACAGGTGTGTTCAGAGGTAGTATTCTCTTTTGCATTCAATTTTCTTTCTTTCTTTCTTTCTCTCTTTCTTTCTTTCTTTCTTTCTTTCTTTCTTTCTTCCTCTCTGTCTTTGTTAGTTGTCAGCCTATTTGTGCTCAAGGCTAGTGCTCTACCACTTGAGCCGTAGCACCACTTCTGGTTTTTGAGTAGTTAATTGGAGATAAGAGTCTCATCTGCCCTAGCTGGCTTTGTACCACAATCCACAGATCTCAGGCTCCTGAGTAGCTAGGATTACAGGCGTGAGCCACCAGCATCTAACTTTCCTTCACTTTTCTTAAGAAAGAGAAACAAACAAGTACCCTAAGAGAAGAATATTCTATAACCTCATGCCTAATCTTAGGAATATGGCTGACCTAAAATTGCTCTTAAAAACAGACATCATCCATGTTCATAGATCATAGGGATGTCACAGGTTTTTGATATCATCTGGAAAATAGATTGATGAGTATAAAATACACCAAACTCCAGGATATTTGAACTTTTTGATAATCACAGTAAATCTTGCACATGGAAAAGATACACTGTCAGATAACATGTGATTTTAAAAACTGATCTAACAGTCCTCTTGAGTGTCTTTAAATGCTGTGGATCACTGTCTATATTTGTGTTGATAGGGTTACAGAGAGGGAAAGATGGCCATTGTCTTTAGAAAAGTATTCCCACTGCTTCCTTGGTTTTCTGACTGATTTTCACTTACAATGTCACAAGAACTAACAGATGAAGTAAGCTAAATGCTTTCCTATAAATCTCGATGAAAGAACTGAGCACAGTTTCACAAAGAATGCCCAGTTACTGGTACAGGATGCATCTTTTCTCTAGTTATTTTTTCCCATGAATTCTAAGAAAATAAAAATTCAGGCTCAATGTTGTTCCACTTGAGTTTTCACAGATTTATTTTACAGTCAGACAATCTCTCACGTGAAACTTAAGCTTGAATTCTACCTACACCCGTGGTGCCTTTATTCTATGAAGTAAGCCATGCGTACCTCCAACATTGTTCTTGTAGGTGTTATATAATTCTTTTACTCTTCTGTAACGAAAAGCCAACTTCCTCATCCAGTCCACTCCTCCTCTTACACCTGTTGGCAAACAAAGGTTTGCACTACTTGCAGCTGCATGGAAGCCATCAGTTGCAAAACTGTAGGTACTGCAACACCCAAAATACATTAAAAAGAAATAAAAGAAATAATTACATGTGCAAAACTCCACAGCTCAATTTCTGTAGGAAACAGCAGACGGAAAGGCATGGCTTACCTTAAGTCCTGCCCATTATCATCGGAGGAAACATCATCTATGTGAACTTGATCGCACTCCTGTTTAAAAGAAGGGAACTGTTACTACCTGTGCTCATGTGCTGGCCAGCAGATGGCAGCATCGGCCAACATACCCTCCAACCCCAGGCTTGTTTATTGAGGTTGGAAAATGGCACCATTTCTGCTCTCCATGATCTGAAGTATGAAGGAGTATGAAAACACGCAGCAAATAATTCCGGCAAGTAATTTCAAAAAAATAAGTTTAATCTTACAAATACTGATAAGGCTATTCTTTTTTGGATTTGTCTGTCATGTCCACTTTCTTCTAGTTCTTTCTGTTGTGCACACTCAAGCAAAGTCAATCTAGTGTGGCCTGAACAATTAATATGGTCACTCTTATTATTTGCTGAGCTGTGATAGAAGGGCTTAATTTTGAATTATGGTGACCCGTGAGATTTCCATGTCATCCTGCTTTGGGCTAGACTGGGGTTGTTATTTCAAATGTTCTTGTATTTAACATAGAAAGAAAGGTCATAACCATAGAAGATGATATTTTCCTTTCTCCAGCTATTTTTTTAATTGAAAAATAATATCTAGAAGTAAAAGGCGAAGCTTTACCATATCAAATGTACTACAAATGCCAAAAGCTTTAGGAAAATGTAACTATAAGATAGGTCTGATAATTAGCCAGAATCTAGGACTTTTGCATTGTTCTGTCTTGTTCTGCTATCAAATAATCTGCAAAGTTCTAGTAAAATATTACCTAACTAAAGGTGGAAATTGTTTACAGCATGTAAAATACCTAGCCTTTAGAAGAATAGATCCATAAATCAAAATAATAAATTATAATTACTAGTTATTATTTTTAAAAGTGACTTCAGCTAGGTAGCAGTGGCTCACACCAGCAATCCTAGCTACTAAAGAGGCTGAGGTATGAGGATCGCGGCTCAAAGTCAGTCTGGGCAGAAACTGTGAGAAAGTGAGAACATCTGTAACCAACAGAAAACCAAAAGTGGAGCTGTGACTCAATGTGGTATAGTGTACTAGCCTTGAGCAAAGAAGCTCAGGGACAGTACTCAGGCCCTGGCTGGGTTTCAGACCCATGACTGGCAAAAATAAATAAATAAATAAAACAACCTTCAGATTAAGTCTTGTTACCCTTTAGAGCTGCATTTATTTCCCTCAAATTATTTCATTTGTACAGTTTCTGTTTCTATACATAGTGCTTACCATTCAAAATTATTTTTTTTTAGCAGTACTGGGATTTGAACTCACAGTCTCGTGCTTGCTTACCCCTGAGTCACATCTCTATCCCCATCTTTTATTATTATTTTTAGGACACCTGAGCTGCCCTCTGCCCACTTCTAGACTTCCTAGTGTGGTTGTGATCACAGGTATATGAACCATGTCTACCTTCCCTTTCTTGGGAAAAAGCCTTCTCAGGGCCTGGCTCTCTGATCCTCCCAATATCAATCCCCCATATAGTTTATGATAACAGCAGCATGTCACTGAACCCAACTATAGGTTGAGATGGGGGCTCATAAACATTTCTGCCTGGGCCGGCATCAAAGCATGATCCTTTCATTCTCAACTTCCCCAAAAGCCAAGATGACAGGTGTGAGCTTTCACATTAATTTGGGAATAGGTCACACAACAAAGGCTTTCCAGTTACTGTTCCTGTTCATGGCAGGCTTGGTAGTGTCTGTAGACTAACACTGAGTGTCTAGACTCCAGCTTCTTATCAGGACCACATCCAGATATCTCTGGCTTCCTTTAAAATATAAAACTCAGTGAGAGGCACAATTCATTTCTATTGAAAATCCAGATTACTAATTTATAAAGTTTCTAAGTTTCATATAAATTTTGGGCTTAGTGTTTTTTACAGTGAAATCTCTACCTTTATTCATGGGGTAGATTTAACACAACTAGAAACTCTCCGGGGAAGGGAGTGTTTCCAGAAGATTTTCAATTCCTCAAAGTTTTTTTTTTTCTCTAGAAAATCTAGATAAATGATCATTTTTGACAGCATTATCATAATCATTTACATTTTAAAATGCAAAGTCAGGGGGAATGATGGGATGAGCTTGATAAGAAATGTACTCATTATCTTGCCCATGTAATTGTAACCCCTCTGTACAGTACTTTCACAATAAAAAAAAAGAAAATAACACTATCCTAGATGATAGACTTTAAGAAGATCTTTATGGAGGGATAAACCAAAGTAGAGAGCAGCAGCTAAGCCTCATAATCATAGCTGGACGTTAAGAAGCATCTGCTTCTGTTTGATCAAGAATTGGTTGAAAGGAGGCCAAGCTATTCGTACAGGAAGGGTAGCCTTCCAGCACAATTTCAGGTAAAAATATTACAAGCAAATGAAAAAGCAATTGAACTGTGCTTTCAACAGATACAGAGATTTAACTAGGTAGCATGAAAATTTAGAAATAAAATTCTCCTAAGATATAGAAATACCAAAGGGGTCCTCTAGGGCAGAATTATTCCTTATTTAGAGATAGTGATGTTCTTGAAAAAAGTGTAGATTGCAATCAATATTAATATGACAACGCATAAAGTTACCTACTCTAGTGAAGTTCTGAAATATTTCCTCATATGTAAATAATTTTCCTGTTTTGATAATAAGCTAATCATATCACAAAAAAGTCAGGGGAGACAAGAGTTTCTTGTAAATTACTCTGGTAATCAGAAGTTATTTCTCCAATATTCCCCATTCTACTTTTCACAGAAATTCCTCTGACATTTCAAGTATTCATTCACATGATGAATTTATACATAGGTTGCCCCCAAATTTATTTTTTTACTCCTGGGGACAACAGTATATCAAACTTATTGGACCATGTACTCTGTATTCGAAGTTATGTTTGAGGCTTTTCCAAATCTAACTTCTCTTTAAATTTATGCCTAGTTAACTGTGCCTGTTGACTCTGGACGATTGCCTGAGGATTATAGTCCAGTGAAAGAAACTTGAACTTCAATTACTGACATTTTCAGGAAAAACTAAATAATTGGTCTTCAATTGGTTTCACTCTGAGGAACTATGCAACAATCCTTTTAACCCAAACCTGCAATAGCTAAAAAAAAATTAATAATAATAAATCAAATAGAGTACTTTACTTTGGTTTTTTAACACATTTTAGTGGAAGACCTCAAATGTTTGAAATGTATCTGGTGCTAATCTTAAAATGTTTTAATTTTGTCTTCCAAGGTGACCACAGAATTGTCTCTGATCCTTTCCTGTTAGATTCCACAGCAGCCTCCCCTCACTTTTGTGACCCCAAAGTCCCTGGTGCCTACTTTTTCAGATCTCACTGAAATCACATCTGATTTAAGCAGAGCATTGGTTTTGCGGGGTACAGTGAGTGCAGTGAGCATTTGACCTTCTCTGCAGTTGTGCAGGAAGAAGTGAAAACAAAGACGTGGCTACCAGAAGGAATTACATTTGTATCTTTCCAGGAATTCTGAGAGGAGCAGCTGGCACTGCATATGTTGAAGGGCTGGAATCCCAGTTTGGATTTTAAAGTTAAAAAAAAAAACTCAAATAATTTAACTACCGAAGGAAAAAAAATCCACAGTAAGCTCGTGGTATAGTTATACTCTCATCAGGAATTATTCTCTTTGTCAACAGAAGGGGAAATAAGTCCTCTTAAGGAACCTTTGCACTCTGGCTGCAAGAGCTTTATAGAAACAAACATGTGCAAGTACAGTAGACGTTGAATGTCAGTTACAGAAGTCTAGAGGTATATATGTAATGATTCCAGACGATCATGAACACTGTTGTTCAGATTTTATTAGTTTACTGCTTATTTATGTCACTTAGTAATACATTTTTTAGTTCCTTATCTAAATGGATGAGCTATGCATGCATGAACGAGAGTTTAGTCCATTTGTATGCAGATCTAATCTATTAAGTGTGGTATGGCTGAATAAGTAGGTTTTAGGGTTTAAACAAAGTAAAGTTTTCCATCACATTCTAAAACAGAATCAGAAAGGAGAGAGTTGATACCATTATTTTATCAGGTACTATTTCTGAGAAAGATCCTGACATATTTTGAGAGGACATTTTACATAGTGTCTAACTCAAATGCAAAGGTTCATAGCACTCTAGCGGTTATGTTATAGATTTTCATAGACGATCAAGTTGACCCAAACCTGCTAAAGATATGTAACACCATGTGTTATTAGCACATTTCTACTTTAGAGTTCTGTTAAAAGCTGAGTAGTAAATTTCTTTCATCTTGTTTCTAGATGTTTCAACAGGAAAGCTAAAAGTTCAGGTATCCAATGTATTTCTAGTAAAAAAATATTAATCAAATAAAATTGGCACCATAAATTGGGATAAGACTAAGTAAGATTATTTCTTTTTATAGATTTGAAGGGAGTAATCATCTTAAAATCGTCTCCAGGTTGAATTTCATCCATGTTAGCAACAGGAAAACAGAGCTAAATCATTACCACTGTATTTCAAATTCCATCTTCCCTGAAAGTTCAAATCTGTTCTCCATCAACAAGTATATGCCAGAGGATTTTATATACTGGATAGTAACAAATAGCAGGACTGACTTAAATCAGATTTTAGAGAGGTAATTACAATTTATTATCTAAAACTGGAAAAGTTGACAAAGAATACTGATCTGTCCTGTGTTCATTTTTAAAAAGCCTCTTTGGTCATTTTGTTATCCAATGAAAACACTGACTAAACTCCAAGTAAACAACAAACAGCTATGAAACAGCTCATTTTCAGTACATACATTTATGGGTTACATTGAGACTTACATTATTTTTATCATATGTCTCAAAAGTAATTAAGTCTAGATTTAGACCTTGTCAACTTAAAAAAAAAAACTTAAGTCATTCACTGGATGTTTGCTTGTTTTAGCCTAATAGATTGGACATCCAAGACTGCTTAACTTGGAGGTTACCTTAAATGCAGTCTTTGTGCTATAGACCAGACAGTTGTTGCCCCATGAATGTAATGTGATACATATATTTATCTCAAAATACTGTCAATTAATTAGTGGAAAGTTCAACATAAAATGTCTACAACAATGTGAGGAACCATATAGCAATCTTCCCTACTATTTGTTATGTGGGTATAGATTTTACTTCACTGCAAAAATAAAACTAAGTTTACATATGTCATAACAAAAAAGAAATCTCCCTTTCAGTCTAGTTATACTTGCTCAAGAAGGACTTCTGCCCTATGCTAATCTATCTATTTTTTTATTTAAAATTTCATTGTCTAGATGCCTTATGACTTGGGTGCTTTGTACACAGAGTACATTACACACTACTCTGTCCCTAGTCTGTTTTACCTTTCATTCATACTGTAATGTTCCTCTTCTTCTGGTCTGCTATTTACATACAGTATTGCCATTTGAAGTTTGAAAGGGAAAAATGTTGATAAAGGGAGAATAAATGCATTCATACTCATCAGAATCTTATGTAAACACCTCTAGCACTGTTTTACCCAGAGGTGGAGGAAAGGAGAAATGATCACATTGTCCAAAGCTAGGTTTTAGATTATGTACAAAATTCAGTGATCAGAGATGTTGGGAGCATCTGTAAATATGGTCTGGGAACTCACTGACCTGGGAAGGCTAACACTACTTCCAACGGTGCCAGAAGTAGTTGCCGAAGTACTGAAAAATGAGAGTACAAGAGGTGTCTGGCACAGGCAGCAAAACAGATATTCTCTTTTGGGCATTTTTTCTTCCCAATATACGGCAGTCATGTAGGTATTATTCATGACCACAGTTTCATTTTCTGTTCATGCTAGTGTGTGTGTGTGTGTGTGTGTGTGTGTGTGTGTGTGTGTGTGTGTGTGTGTGTGTGTGTGTGTATCCTGACAAGCTCACAAATCTCTTAAGCCCTGTCGCTATCTTTCGGTTGTCTCAAGTTTATTACACATACACAACCATCTAAGTTTCTAAGTGCTGCAAACAATTATTCTTCCTTTTGAAAATTTCTTACCTCTAAATCGTTAAAAAACAGATGGGTATCAGCAAGATTAAAGATCATTTCTTCCATTCGGAGACCAAGGGTTACAGCCATTGGGGGATCCTGGAAAAAAAATGTTTGCACCATGAGGCCAAATCTTAATAGCCACAATTCCTATTAAAAAGATCTTAAGTGTATATAGTCAAGAGGTGGAAGATTCAAAACCTATTCCTTAGGACCAAACCAGTTTTTTTAAAATTACTGAATATTTTTAAAGCCAATTAATGACTATGCCAGACATAAGTATATTATTACACTCATATCACTAGATTACTATAAGTCACAGTATCAAAGAATGAAAGAATCATCTCATCAAAAGGGTCAGGAGGGGAAATGGAGGGAGGAGGTAACACTGTTCAAAAAGAAATATACTCATTACCTGACACGTAACTGTAACCCCTCTCTACATCACCTTTACAGTCATTTTTTTTTTTAAAAAGAATCACCTCAGTACACTTAGTAAAGATATTTCAATAAATAGAAAGCCTTTTAATATTAAAAAACACATTCTTTATGGGAGCAATAAGGAGAGAGGCTGTTTATTGTTTAAAAATACAGACAGATGAATAAAAGTCTATTGTTCCATTAACTGTGAAGAAGGGTGGTGATAGTTAGGAATAATCTATTGAGACTTCAAACTGGAGAGAAAAAAGAATTTTGGATGTTCCTAATACAAAGAAATGTTAAATATTTGAGATGATAGGTGTGTTTAATTACAGACTTGTACAGATGTACACAAATCTTGTACACTAAAATACACACTGTACCTGCCTCTAAATATGGATTTTGTGTTAACTATTTAAGTTGTATATATTATTAAAAAGATGACAAAATTATACAAAGAGGTGTTTTTCTTAAAGTTAAGGCAATGGTATATACTGATACTCTTAGGAATTTCATACAGGTGAAGATGGAGTAAGATTCTACTTTTTCAAAAGGCTGTGTATCCATGACAGAGGAGGATGAAGGCCAACTAGATTGTTCAGCATGGTTTACACACAGTCCACTGAAATTCTTTAGGAGAGAGGAATGAAGGGGGTGGTAATGAAGACTGTGACAAATTCACTGAAAAGAGGAAAGGATTTTCATCTAAGCATGGTGCTAATGAGGATTAAAAGTTGGAGAAAAATAGGCCTAAGGTAAGTTTACATCAACATAGGCTAAGAAGAGCTGCTTGATTATAAATTGCATTTTGATTAAAAAAAGATAATAGAAATTGCTATCTGACTATGTATAAAGTTGACATGACATGTATTTCACTAGAGTTGCAAGTGGGAAGGGTAGAAGATAAATAAAAAGAACATTCATTCACTAAATGGAACCCGGATAGACAATATATGCTTTTTTTGAAGTTTAAAAGTAAAAGGTGAGTCAGGAATCAAAAGGACTCCAGTTCGTATACAGAAGCCCAGATCTTAAACAGCAAGGACTTGAGAATCGGGACCTGATTTATTACTTTGCCCATGATTCACTGCAGCTAAAGACCAGGCATCAGAGGTGGCAAGGCATTGAAAAATCGGGGAATTCAGGGCTAGGGTAGTAATTCATGTACAGACTCCTGTTGAAACCATCAAAAGTGGAGGCAACCTATTACAGGTGTGACTCTGGAGAGATGGGAAATAGAAAACCAAGGAGGGACAAGTCCCTAGAATTTGAGGCCAGATGGGTGTCAGTAGAGAGAGGAATGTTTTTGAGTAAAAGGCTGACACGTCTAGAAGGACACTATTGGTTTTGGCTGAGAAATTATTTTGGAAGACTTCAGAGGGTGATTTGGGTTGAGTGGCTGGGCCACCAGCCAGACGATGGGGATTTGAGAGGAGAGAACTGAAATTGTGCTTTCAACATCCTAATAAATGGCATTTCAAGAGATGTATTTAAACATGAGGAACTAAAATGCTAACTTAACTTCAGGTTTTTGATAAGAGCACCCAACTCAGGTCAGGCCTTGTGATAGTCACCTGTGCCCCTAAATGAATTCCATTCGCAACCAGCAGCCCTTCCCATCCACCACACTGCACTCACCAACTTCTTAGTCCCTCTACTCAGAATGCTTTGGTGGGGATAGCTCTGGTGTGAAAGCATTTCTGAAGTGTTATTCCTCTGACCAACTGAAACCTAGACAATCGGGAATTGCATGTTAAGATATAGGAACTGAGTGCTACCAGGACCTTGAGACATGTGGGACAAAGCTAAGACGCGATGTGAGTCAATAAGACAGTAACTATATGTCAGATTTCAACGTGCTTTTCTGATCATTCATATCTCCCCAGTAGGCATTTTTCTGGATTATTTTTGAGCTAAAGATTTTATTTTAGCCCCCAAATGGATGTAGAATGCTCACATTCAGGATGGTTTACCAAGAGGACTCTATGCCTTCATTCATCAGTCTTCAGTGATAGAACCATTTGGGCCCATATATCCACAGGTCTAATAAAATCATTTTGCCAACAAATATTCATTCCAAAGCAAATAAAAATATTAAATGCCTTCTTTTTTTGTTTCAATGAGTTTTAGAAATCAGATGGACTCCTTACTCTGTTTACTTCAAGCACCTTCCTTCGTTCGTTCGTTCCTTCGTTCGTTCCTTCGTTCATTCCTTCCTTCCTTCCTTCCTTCCTTCGCTTTCCCTTCCTTCCTTCCTTCCTTCGCTTTCCCTTCCTTCCTTCCTTCCTTCGCTTTCCCTTCCTTCCTTCCTTCCTTCCTTCCTTCCTTCCTTCCTTCCTTCCTTCCTTCCTTCCTTCCTTCCTTCGCTTTCCCTTCCTTCCTTCCTTCCTTCCTTCCTTCCTTCCTTCCTTCCTTCCTTCGCTTTCCCTTCCTTCCTTCCTTCCTTCGCTTTCCCTCCCTTCCTTCCTTCTTTCCTTCCTTCCTTCCTTCCTTCCTTCCTTCCTTCCTTCCTTCCTTCCTTCCTTCCTTCCTTCCTTCCTTCCTTCCTTCCTTCTTCCTGTTGTTGAAATCACTCTCCAAGTGCTGACTAAAACATTTTTTTACTGTATTATTTTTTACTGTATTTTTTTTGGTACTGGGGATCAAACCCAGGACAATGCACTTGCTAGGCACATGTTTTGCCACTTAGCTACATCCAAGCCCAAATAAAACATTTTTTAAAAATGTACATTTTTGTCTTTAAAATGTCTTGAAAGTTCCTTTTTACTAAGCTCTCTATTTTGGGGTGAGGTGAACATTAGGTAGACCAGGGATACAGTAAACTTGTAAATATCCTGCCTAATCATGGAACCATGAACAAAGGTCTACAGAAATATCAAGAAAAATCAAATGTAATTATAGCATGAAAACATATAATTCCATTAGTGAAGCCCTCTGCATTTGAGGAATGTTCACTGATGCAAGACAATAAAACCGAGTCCCACACTCTGCTGCTATGTTTCTGAAGATTCCTGCCCTAAAGAGCTTTGCTTCAGATGAGCAGAAGGACCTTCATTTGAAAGATTTCCTCCTGGAAGCCAGGCTGGTTAACCTCTTAGCTCACAAATTTCTATGTTTTCTCCATTTAAAAATTTCCAACAAAATCACTGAATATCTTGAGTTTGTTCCTCCTATCCCTTGCATTTACAGATCCGATTTATGGAATATGGGAGAAAACAGACCATTCCTCTTTGAAGTTATTTCCATCGATTCCATGCTTCTGAACTACATAATTCTCTATGCTATCCAAAACAGTAAGAGGAAAATCCATGAAGAATGCATTTTGTGCATCTGATAAGCATGCAAACAAATATAATTTTAAGAAATGCAAGTGTCCTCTAGCCAGCAAGCATAGCATATGGTATGATGAAAACTGTATTTGTGTGCTCCGTTGGAATGCAACCCCAGGGCCCTGGAAGAGCTGTCCATTTGTTTTGCAAACTGTGGCGATAGCACACTACACATTGCTAGAGCCCAGGCCTTAGTAAGCATTTTGGCAAACATAACTGTTGTTAACTGGGTACGTTTAGGCTTGAAATTTGTCAAAGTGTGAACTAGTCCTGTTTTACTAAGGTTTCCAGAGAGCAAGCCTGTTGATAGGCTTGGCAGAGATGGTCTGGGACAGTCATGTCACTAGCCAAGGAAAACCACGACTGTAAAATGTGATGATCTTGTTGCTAGGAGAATGCCTAGGGAGGGCTTCCTTTGAAATACTTAATTTTACTTGTGTTTTTTTTTTTCCCCCCAGCTTACTCAGTCACTGGGACAGCTCATTTTAAGTAACCAGATTACAGTACAGCATTTTTGCAGCTCAAGGACCCACAGAGAAAAGAATCCAAGAAGATGACTGCGCATCTGGTGGGCGTGGCCTTCCTGTCATATCAGGGCCCCCCAACCATGCCAGACTGCTGCACCTGAGTGCCAGGGCCTGCAGCTTGGCTGCTTTACCAGGTGCTCGAGAGCAGAACATATCTGGAGGGAACTCAAGTTTTATACAGAGATGTTGGCTCATCTTCAGTAGGTGTTTACCAAATTATGGACACCTCTTTAGTGGAGAGCGGCTGCCTTTTCCAGTTAAGTGGAGGGAGGGGTGACGTCATGATGTAAAATGAGGTGATAACGAAAACTCGGATGGAGGGCGAGTGGGATAATAATGACGCGGGCAGAATTTGGTGGAAGCTTTGGCACGTGTTATTGTGCATACATAACACTTCAGAAAGGTTCAAAAGCTCTTCGGCAGGGTCTTATGTGGGGAAAAGCGAACTGCCAATTTATTTTGTGGACAAATCTATTAAAATACTGAAATGATTCCCAAGGCATTTTGTTGGGGGCCGGGGAGACAGAAGAAGATAGAGAAAACAAATAGCTCTTGGCCTTGAAATGTGTGAGTCTAAGCCAGAGTTACCACTGTAGAATCCAGTGAGGATCAAGAACAGCACTTCTCTAAATCAAAATACAAATGCCTATTAGCCATGTTAGCACAGAGCATAAATCGGAGCCAGACAGTCTGTCTATGTGCCTCTGCTCTGTACTGGGCCATCAGCTGGAATCTTCTCTCTGGGGACACACTGTAAAAATATCTCAGGAGAGGCAGCAATTACATTTTTTTTTTAAAAAAATGGAAGACTTTTTTTTTAATT